CCTAACAATCTCTTTATTCTGCTTATTAACTTCTTTGTTTATTTCCATTGGTAAATTCTCTTTAATGGCTGTTCCCAACTCTACAAATCTGCTCCCAATTTCCTGTCCTATTTCCGCTCTAATTATGGCCTTTTCTCTGGATATCTCCTCCTGTACATTCCTCTTAAAATTCTCACTTTCTCCTCTGACCTGTTCTACTTTCTCTTCTAAACCTTGGGTAATTTGTAGCATCTCTTCCCTGACTATCTTCACTTCTTCTTTGATTTCTTCCCTCATTTTAATTAACTCTTCCCTAAGTTCTCCTTTAATATTATTTTCCATTTTGTTCATATCCCCCCTAATATTGTTAATATTACTATCCATTTTGTGCATATCTCCCCTAATATTATGATCCATCTGTTGTAACATCCGCATTATTTGCCTCATATCCATCTGTGTCATCCCTGACTCTCCAACATCTCCTTCCCTACGTCTCTCCTCCTGCACTCTACATTCATCCACACTTTCATCACGTCTATCTCTCACTGTCTCATCCAAACTCCTCTCTCAAACTATCTGTTAGACTTCCCTCTCTATCACCTTGTCCTGCTTCTTGTCTGCCTTGCTCTAAATATTGTACTACAAATTCTCCTGATCCTCCTCTGCTTTCTTCATCTACCTGTATACCCTGTTCCTGTTCTAACACCTGTTCTCCTTCACTCTCTTTCGGTACGATTTCTTTTCCATTTCTTAAAGTCATTCGGTCTGCCATTTTATGCTAATCTCTATTTATTCTCAAATTTAACTTTAACTACCCCAGAATCTCTACAACTCTAATCACCACCAATTTGTTTTTATTTTAATCTGTGTATTATTAATAAATCTGCTTAAAAATTACACCCTTATTTCTGTTTTCCCAGAGGCCCCACGTTGGGCGCCAATTGTAATAGTTTTGTTTTTATTATTTTTATGTTTTATTGTTAATAAATATAATTTTAATTGAATTGAAGTGAATTTTAAAAGTATGTAGTTCGTTGTTAATATACTATACCTCGGCTAGCTCAATTATTTGTTCTAAGCAATCTGTCACTGTGTGACGTCAACTCTGTAGTCTCCTGGTAGAGTTCAAAAAGAAATTAAACCAAAATTTACTTTATATTTTTGATAAATTAACCCAAATGAAGCACGTTATTTATTAATATTGAACAAATTTAATATAAACAATAAAATTCGTCTGCAACTTGGGTTGCCTTTAAAAATTTACAAAAATAGGAATCGTGTAAACCTTAATGTGTCGTGAAAATAGAATTTGATTACAAAATGTGGAAACTCTCTACAATTACCTCAAATCTAAATGACTATTGCAACTTTATAAAGTGTTTAAATGAAATATAAAGAAAAGAAAACTGAACACTTTATGCCGCTGACTTATAACTAGCATTAAAATATAATCAAAATTTCAAATGATCCCCAAAATTATTATCCAAACTCACTTTCAAACAGTTCTGATTTTTTTTTTTTTTAAAGAAAACTAACTACTCGCAAAATAATCGGTGATACTGGAATATCTATCCTCTCTTCGGAAGTTAAAGGTACGTACTATTATATTTTTATTTAAATGATCATTAATATTTCAATTTTTAAGGCCTATCGCAATTAGTTAATTCATGAATTTTTACTTTTTCAATCTAAATGACATTTCTGCACTCCAATTATAATTTATAAGTCAAAATTTCTCTTACTCTCTGGAACAAATTCTGGATATCTCTATTTGAAAATGTGGAAAAACTAAATTATAATTAAACGATTTTAAAGCACTCCCGGACTATTCCACCTTTTTAGGGCTCTTCCTCCAAAATTTTCGTCGCCTCCAACAACCTATTCTTCCTTGTTAACCGCCATAGCTAGCACCCACCAAAAATTATTCGTTGCTAACAGCAACCCACTTTCTTTTTTCATTCCGTCTTCTATTTTATTCAACCATAAAACTGTCCTGTTTTGACATATTTGTCCAAACCACATTAATTTCTCATAAGCACTTTAATCACATCTAATTTGGGAATTTAAAAAAAAATTCAGATATAAAACTTAACAATACTAATATAATTTATTCTTTTCATCTCCACATCATTGTAATTTATTTAACAAAACCCCTATTAATTTAGTTCCCACAGACTTTTGACAGTTTATTTTTCTGACGTTTATTTTTAAAATTTCTATGTTTAAATAATTTTTTAAGAATTCTTCTTTTTTTATTCCTTTTAAGGTTTAGACGATTCACCTATACACTAGGCAACTATACTATTCAGAAATTATTAACACTATACCAGGTAAGTCAAAATTAATTTATTTAGCAATTTACTAATCTTTTCTCCCTTTTATTTCAGAGTCGACCCCACATTGTGATGGCTTCATGAAATTCATGAACAACAAACTCATATAAAAATCCCTTTAAGTTATATCCTCTTTGACTATTGAAATCATTTCAATTATATTATTATATATATATATATATATATATAGCAAAACTGGTAAGATTATCGACCGAAACGTAAAAAACAATTTATTGTGTTGGAATATCGGGTATGCGGTCTGTTATTATTAAAAAAAAAAAAAAAAAAAAAAAAAAAAAATTTTTTTTTTTTTAATAATAACAGACCGCATACCCGATATTCCAACACAATAAATTGTTTTTTATATATATTTATATATATATATATATATATATATATATATATATATAATATATATATATATATATATATATATATATATATTCGGTTTTATAACGTCTTACGACGTTGTCCGACTCCCAAACGCCACTGTATTCTGTCTTGAGTTAGGTCTTCGTCCAGATTTCTAGCGCTAATCGCTTTTACTAGCTTCTCTCTGGTCATGAAATAGTTCCTCGATGTACTCTTTCCATTGTCGTAGTTTTTCTTCTGTCTCCAATATAATATTTCCATTTTTATCGAGCAATATATTTGAGGTTCTTCTTTTTCCTACTCCGGCTAGTTCTTTGACTTTTTTATGTAGATTAAAGTTGTCATTCTCTGTTTTGCAGTTCTTTCATTTCTTTATATTTTTCAGAGAAGTAGGTTTCTTAAGCCACCCTATTTTTTTTCTTATTTGGTTTTGAGGCTGTTTATAGCGGATCGTATTGATGGTTTTGTTTTTTCTCCTTTCATTCATCAACTCTAGAATTTTCTCGGTCATCCACTCTTTTTTCTTAGATTTGGTTATTTTAAGTATTGTTTTACTTGGCTCTAATATAGAGGTTTTGAAGAATTGCCACTGCTGCTCTACGTTGTAATTATTTCTTTCTCTATATAGATTTGTGTTGATTTCGTGTTTCAGATTTTCTTTTGTTTCTTCTGACTTTAGTTTCTGTATGTTAAGTTTATTGTTGTTGCTGCGTTTTTGCGTCTTTTTTAGTTGAAGTTGAAACCTAGCAATAAGAAAACTGTGATCAAAGGGTACGTCTGCTCCTGGATATGCCTTTACTGCCTGAATTCTTTAATTTCGATATCTGTGTTTTATTAGGATGTAGCCAATTTGATTTCTGACAATTTTGTTGTCTTATATGTATTTGCGGCTATATCATTATGCTCCTGGCAAAATTCTATTAGGCGATCTTCTCTGTCGTTTCGTTCACCAAGCCCGTATGGTCCTACATTAGGGTAGCATTTTCCTTCGCCAATTTTTTCATTGAAATCACCCATGATCACTGTTATATCTCTAGATGCTGTGAGATGTAATGTTTTTTGAAGTTTGCTATAAGAGTTTTCTATTTCTTCTTCATTTTTGTCAGCAGTTGGCGAATGAATCTGAATTAAGTTCATTTTTCCATAAGTTGTCAATAGCTGCAGCAATATAATTTATTCGGACATCGGAACGAAGCCTGTTACCGATCTCCAGCTGCTTCCAGAGTAATAAATTCGTCCATTGTCTGTATTGAGTTTGCCAGAGCTAACCCAGCTTGTATCGCTTATTCCTAATATATCGATCTTCAGTCGCATTATCTCTTGTTGTATATTTCTCAGTTTCCCAGGTTCATACATACTTCTTAGATTCCATGCTGTCCGAAAAAACACAACCCTATAAATAAAATAAAGCCCTATCAAGTTTTTTTTTAAAGATGTTAACACTAGCTGCCGATATAGTGTCTTGATCCAAATTGTTCCAGATATTAAAGATTCTGTTTGGCAAGAAGTTCGCCCTGGACCTTGCAGTAGTTTGTTCCCTCTTTAATTTGTATCGATGGCCTCTTAATCTGTCGTCTTCATTCAAAGTGAATGTGGTGTTTAGGTTCCCAAAATTATGTTTTAAAATCAAGTTTATTACCTTTCTTGAATACAGGAGTAACTAAAGCCCATTTTCCAGGACGAGGGGAGGGAACCTTGATTAAAAGAAGCAGTCATTATGAGAGATATAGGGATGGCTACAGAATCTGCACATTGTTTGAGGAAAAAAGAGGTGAGTCCGTCTAATCCAGGTGATGAATTATTTCGCAGTTTCCTTAAATGATGTTTAATTTCATCCGGTATGAAAGATATATTGTCAAGAGTTTTAGACAAACGAGGGCACATTATTTGAGGAATGGTATCGTTAGATTCATCTGTAAAAACTTAAGAAAAGAATAACGATAAACATCCCGAAGCTTCGTTATTCGAAGAACATAAAGACCCATCAGCTTTTTGAAGCAATGGTATGGAGACTTTAGAAGATAAAGATATACATTTATTATTGAAAACATTTTTTCTACGGCGTACAAATTCTTGGTAAATAAATTTTTTGCGTTTTTCTGCCCCTACGAGGGGCGATTTTAACGAAAGTAGGAGAAGTAAACCTTTTTCATATTTTTTGGGATGCCAAAATAAACATTCTCAGCAAAATTTAACTAGATTGTATGATTTTTAGAAGCTCTCTTTTTTAAATATTAATAAGTTTCTATTGTTACGCCATAATTCCAGGTGGGTAGTCGACAGTAACCAAGCTCAATATACAGACGTTCATTACAGATCACTCACCGGAGAGGGAAATTTCAATTGGAGATTTATTTTTCACTTTGATTACTTGTCAACCGAAAACAAAATTGTAATAAAGAAAAAAGAAAGTATCTTTGCAGCTGATGAAACCGAATTTAAGTTACCTTGCAGGCTAACATTGCAGGTGTGGGACAATGATACGTTTTCTAAAGATGACTTCATAGGTAAGAATAAAACATTTAAAGTAATATTATTAACGTTTTGTTTTAACCCTAATAATTAAATTTTAAAAAGAACATGGTATTTGGAAAAGACAAACGTATAGCATTTGAAAAATATATTAACAACAGAAGTTGTGGATAATATTCGATCCAAGATTGTTCTTGTATTATATCTATTCTACTAGTTTATTTGTTTTTTAATTTCAGATTTTTGACTGTTTTACTTGCTTCTTTTGATGTTGTTGACCCTATATATTTATTGAACTTTTGGCATTTGAGGAGCAATTTTGTGCTTTAATTACTAGATTTTTTACTACTCTGTTTGATCTTGCATAGGGTAAAGGGAGGAGAGATGGACCAGGAGGATAGTCGGTCCGCTAGGTATAACTGAGCAAGCTTGGCAACAGCCAAGTCGATCCTACTCTCTTGTATCGTTAAACGTTAGTGGCTCAAGAGACTAAGAGACGCCAGTTATAAACGCATCGGTACGTACTTGTAGGTGTGTTATTTACGATAATTGAAACTGACACGTGTGGTAATTTTATTTAGGTTTTTAAATTTGAATTGTGTCGGTCGGATAGCTCAGCGGGCTGTGCGGCTGCCTCTCATTCGCTTCACTGTCGAATGGTTTAGTGGATGTGGGTCGAGCCCCAGCTCGGTGTACAGAAAACAAAAAGTCTAACGCAGCAGTTTAAAATTCTAGATGAATCTGCGGCTTAGACTAGGATATGCTGGGTTCTGATCGGCCTATGGTGGAGCAGTACGGCAAGAGATAAGGGCTTGCGGCTCGGTGATACTCCTCCATAGATCCCTACCGGAAGGGCGTAACGCCTAAAAAACCGGATATATATAATATATATATATATATATATATATATTATATATATATAATATATATATATATATATATATATAAATTTGAATTGTAAAAAACAGGTGAGTTTAATTGATTGGTTGTTAGTTTATTATTAAACCATATTTAAAATGTATATCATAGAGTAAGAACTACTGCTATAGCCTGCTTATTTTAAACAATACGGGCTGGTCCATCTTTTTTCTTATTTGAGAATAGATGGACCACTTAAGAGGAGGAGAGTTAGTAGTTTGTTTTGTGTTAAAATTATGCCCAATAAATATATTCGCAAACAAAATACACCTAAGAGAGGTAACTGGACCTCTAAGGAGCTAAGTGATGCTGTAGATGCTGTAACGAATGACAATATGGGTACTAATGAAGCTGCCAAAGCATTTGGAATACCCAAAACGACTTTAAAATGTCGAATAAAAACAAACAATATGGATAAGATGACCCGATTGGGTCCAGATTGTTCTTTAGGAACTGCTGTTGAAGCTAAAATCGTTAGCCATATAAAAAAAAACAACAAAAAGCAGGCTTTGTACCAACCAGAAGAAAGAATCATGGCCTTTAATTTACCTCAGCGATTAGGACGCCCAAATACATTTAATGTAGAAGAAGGTAAGTTTTTAAATTCATAAATCTAATACAATAGTTAATTATTGTCTACTTTTAGGTAAAGCTAATAAAAAATAGTTTAAACTCTTTTTGAAACGGAGACCTGAAATTTCAATTAGAAAAGCTGAACACCTCAATTGTACGAGTTTTAGGAATGTCCAAAGGAACAGTTGATAACTACTTTTCTGATCTCTAGAGAATAAAGACATATTTAATACTGTCAAAACAGGTTTACAACTAAATACTAGCAGAAAAAGGTATAAAATGTGTTCATAGCGTAAGTCCTGGAAAAAAAGGTGAAAATATCAGTGTAATATTTTGCTGTAAAGCAGAAGAGATTTTCTTGCCTTTATATTGCATTTTTACGGGAAAAATAAAAGCAACGAATGGCATTATGGTACGCCATCGGGATAAAAGATTACGATGTCGGAAAAATCAGCACACGTTAACAATAACATTTTCTTAGAATTTTTACAAACACACTTTTTGCCGAGAAAGCCTCCAGGTATTCATAAACCTGGATTTACTAGAATTTGCAGATCAAAACGAGATAATTTTATTTTGTTTGCCATCCCACACAACACATTACCTACAGCAACTTTTATGCTGAAATCCGTTTTATGTACAAAATAATACAAACAGGGTTCTAAAACTTTTAGGTCGAGCATGGGAAAACTCAACACCCATCCAAAATGCTACTTCTGCATTTAAATCCACAGGAATTTATCCGTTTAATCCATTAATAATCTCAGAATATGCATTTTTGAGACACACCCCATCAGAAACAGAAATAATGATGTTACATTTAGATCAGAATCTCCTCAACCAGGTCCCTCTGAAATTAGTGGTAAAGTATCCTTGCACGGTAGCCCAAACAAATCATCAATTAGTGATAAAGATATAATATCTGGAAAGGCTCTTAATGAGGTAACGCCCGTGCGTGTATTGGCATCAGCAGTAAAGAGAGTTTGTAAAAAAATAACTGGAGAGATTACTGCTCAAGACTTTATTAAAATGAAGAAGGATGCCTTGATTAAAAAAAGCTTAAAACCTATAAAATAAAACAAAAACGTAAGAGAAAGCTAAGAGAATCGTTACTATCTAAAGACGTTACTTTAAACGACACTAATGGTGATGAAAACATGAGTGATATTGAAAATGAGTGTGTTGGGTGTAACGAGAACTATCGCCAAACAAGTAAAAAAGATGAGTGGATACAATGAATTTTTTGTAAGCACTGGTTACATGAACATGTACTGGCTTTGCTAATCTCTGTAACGAGTGCGAATAGTCTCTTGCTGTTAAAAAGAAAAAGGTCTAGCTTGGTCCATCCCTCCTACTCCTAGTGGTCCATCTCACCCCCACAGTTGAGGAGCGATGGACCGATGACGTGCCAGTGCATTATATTTTTTAGGTTTAAAAATTATAATTTCTTAGTTTTTTACTTATACCAAAACAAATACCAATGTTGAGTTATGTTATGCAATTTTTTTTCTTTCCTGATGTTTATGTAATAAAGAAACAGGCTTCACTTTTCTAAAAAGTGGTCCATCTCTTCTCGCTTTACCCTATGAACGGCTATCATCAGGATCTACATCTCTTGTTGCCGGGAGGGGGCATTTGGGCCTGTGGGACCCATCGCCGGCTCTTCGGACTTCTTCCTGTCCCCGGAATTTGATCGGGTGTTGACCATCTTTGCTTGTCGCTGGTTAAAACGTGTTAAGACTGCTACTGGTATAAAATAACAGTTACCGTGACAAGTATCTGTTATAGGTAACAGTTCCAAGGGACAGTTACAAAATAGCAGATCAAAATAGAAAACAGAACAGGTAAAATAATCTAAGTATTCTTTGACTTACGAAAGAAATAACTTAGTAAACAAGGAAATAAAATGGTACATAAAAATACAATGCACAGAAAATGTTTCTAATTGTTTCTTGACTTACGGAAGAGACAACTTATAATGAAAAGTAAAATACACTAGAATAAAAGAACAGAAAAGTGCGGAAATATTCCTAAGTGTTTCTTGACTTACGGAAGAAACAACTTAAGGACAGAAATATAGATAAATGAAATATGTAAATATGAAACAATGTATGGAAATATTTCTAAGTGTTTCTTAGAACAGAAAACAAGCAAGAGAATCAAATATAGTAAAATAAGAATACAAATATTTGTAAGTGTTTCTTGACTTACGGAAGAAACAACTTATAATAGAAAATAAGAAAATCAAATACAGAAAAGATATGGAAATATTGCTAAGTGTTTCTTGACTTACGGAAGAAACAACTCAGCATGAAATGGTAAAATAAAAGAGACAAATATATTAAGAAAATATCTTAGATAAATATCGGAAATATTAATGCAATAATGATTATGAAAATATTTCTAAGTGTTCTTTTGACTTACCGGAAAAGAATGACTTAGGCACACAATAAAATTAACAAGTCAAATATCAGAGAAATATTTCTAAGAGTTCTTCGACTTACCGGAAAGAACTACTTAGACACAAAGTACAAAATCAAATTTATAAAATAGAAAAAAGTAAGGTAAATATTTCTAAGTGTTCTTAACTTACGGAAGAACAACTTAGATACAAAATACAAGAAAAATAAACAATCAAAATAATCAAATAAAATATCAAATAATCAGTATATGAACAAATATAAGTCAAAGTAATATTCTAACCTGAAAAGGTCTGAATATACAATAATAAAATATAAATGGTTATCAGGAAATAAGAAATAAAACAATAGCTTAGTCGGAACAATAATAGCACCGACTAGGTCTACAGAAGAAGAGGCAAGCTCGACTGACCGATGAGAGAAATTCCGTCTGCTTTTATATAAACCAAATCCTTTGTTTTACGTAGTAAAAGTGGAATTTCCCTACATCGAGTCAATTAGAAATTCGGATTTGCCCACACTTGGAATTTCCAAGTATTTCTCCGAATTTCTAAATGCGTCCGGCACGGCGGTCAGCTTCTACCTGACACGCCTCCGGAGACACTCTACGGCTATCATCTCCTACAATTCTTTATTTTAATGATTTTTTATTATACTTTAAAAAACTGGATTTTTATAAATCATTATATCCATAACTGGAAAACAAGATATCACAAAGTAATTTATTTAAAAAAAAATATTGCTGGACGTTATATCCAGTCTACTATATGGGACTTCTTGATTTTGTTTAGATTTCTGCTTAGAGAGATGCATTTAACTTCCACGTTTGTGAGATTTATGTAATTTAAAATATTTTTTGTATTTTTATAGGAACACTGACTCTTGAATTGGCTAAGCTGTATAGACCCGTGAAAACAGTTGCAAAATGCAACCTAAAAATTTTAGAAAAAGGTGCCCCAACAGTTAATCTGTTTAAGATACGAAGAACAAGAGGTTGGTGGCCATTTAAAGCATACCAGAGAGATGCTAAGGATGAAAAATGCACCGTAAGTTCTATAAGGTAATATGTTAAGTTGGTGTGTGGTCTGAGGCCGTGCGTCAGTCTAATTCGCATAGTGTGTAACTTCCACTTTTTTTTATTAAATTGACAAATTTACAATCTGCTATTACAAGCTATTAGTAAATGTGAGCATTGCGAATACATGAGAGGAGAAATTATCCACTGATAACACTCCCAATACTAATACTACAAACTGTGTGATTAATATGTGATACATATGAAAATTACATAAAATGTCAGAAAGCAGAGGCAATTAAGAAAAACACAATATTAAAAAGTAAAAAAGCTTCTTGGCGCGAATTTTGTAATAAATTAAATAAAAATACTCCGGTCCAAGAAATTTAGAAAGAAATTAAAAAAATCAAAAATACTTATAATGTCCCAAAAAATCAAGTAAAGAAAGATAATTGAACTGAAGAATTTTTAAATAAGTTAGCCTAATGTTATCCTAAAAAAGTGAATAATATTAATTCAAATTATTTGTTAAATGAATTTACTCTAAAAGAACTAGAATATAGTTTAAAGTGTCATAAAAATACTGCTCCTGGCTTAGATAATGTCCATTATATTATGCTGTATTACTTACCAAGGTGTCAGAAAATAAAATTGTTAAATATAATTAATTTAATATGGATGAAAGCTGAATTTCCGGATTCATGGAAGAATTATGTAATTATACCGATTTTAAAACCAAATAAAGATATAGACTAGATATAGCGGATTCATATAGAGGAATTTCCTTAGGATCGTGTATTTTAAAAACATTCGAACGGATGGTAAAGAGAAGACTTGAATTATGGTTAGAGAAAAATAACAAAATTAATGATACGCAATATGGGTTTAGAATGCTATCTAACACTCCGACATCGAGGTCTTCTGCAGACCGGATGCCTTCGACGTGCAGGCGACTTTGACGAGCCAGCCTTCTTCGAAGTCAGAAGCCCCAGATGCCAATGGAAGTCCCGGAGCAGACCCAGTCATCGCCCCCTACCGAAAGTGGTAGGGGTACGACCACGTAGGCTTCGGCACCCTGGTACTCTGCAAAACCCCGTTGGATATGGCAGATAGGATCCGGACGACCGAGAAGAAGACGAACCCGTTGGAGGAGTCGGACCGATCGAGAATGGACCTGCAGGAGCCAGAGATGCCGTTAACGCCACCGACCTTCCCCATTAGTGCAGTGTGTTGTGAGTTTCAAAGACAATTTGGACAATGAACTTTATTATTACTATTAATGTTTGCTTGTCTTTTCAAAAAGAGAACTTCACAAGTCTATGTCTTGTAAATAGACTTGGGTAGAGGTGCTTTCGTTGACATCTCCGAAGCCCTCTACAGAGCACCCGGAGGCAATAAAAGGATGTTAGACCCCTATTTGTTCCCCCGCGGTGCCAGTACCGCGGAGCTTCTGTATAACGTTATTTCTTGTACTCAAAGTTTTACTCAACTTTTGGGCAGGCAGGTACTTCGGTATTTGGTTGTGGGTAAGTGTGGTATTTTCAAAGTAAGGTGTGGTAAGTTTATTGTTCAGGTGAAAGCAACTAACTTCTGTTTTGGATGCATTTGGTTGAAGTCGCCACTTGCGAAAATATTTTCCACAATATATATGTCTGCCGTCAGAACTTCTTCTGACGTTTCTAGTCTAGTGTTCTATATCGTGTAATGAGGGCCCAGTCATCGGTGTATCCGAACTTTCTTGATTGTGTTTCCGGCATATCTGGTAAGTATAAGCTAAATAGTAGTGGAGAGAGCACTGACCCCTGTGGTAGGCCATTCTTAAGTTTCTTTGGTGGGCTGATATCTGTGCCCATCACTACTTGAAACATTCGGTCGTTGAGCATGCTATCTATTAAACGTGCTATTTGTTTACAGGGGATTGCACGGAGAATTTTGTATATTAGGCCCTCTCTCCGTACTGTATCGTAAGCTGCCGAGAGATCAATAAATGCCGCTGAAGTTTTAAGTCTTCTTTGGAAACCCGTAATCACTCATTTTAGCCTCTGACCTATGTTGTATCAAACTTTCTTGAGCTGGTTTCAGTAATGTGTTTTTTTTATATATACCACTTTTTATTTACATCCATAATTTGTTTGTTGTCAGTTAGTTTTTTTGCATATTTTATAATTATTTTTTATTTCGCTTTTATTTCTTCGTTGTTTATCATTCTTACATTAATTTTTGGTTGTTGTTTTCTGAGTTAATTTTTTTTAATGTTAATTATATTTTCTATCTACTTACAATTAGTAATTTTTTTAAATCAGGTATTTAAAGAGTTCCACATTGATATGATTTCAATTTAAGAAAAACACCTAAAATAAAATTTATCGACTTCATAAACTTATATAAGAAATCTAAAAGAGTTCATTTTCTTGCCGGCATTTTTGGCTACTAATAGAATTTAGAGCGACTTTCAGCGCAAAGCAGTTTCGTTTCTAAAATTCAATCGGAAACGACGTGTTACGAACACTTTCAGCAAAGTGGTTTCGTAGAATACATTTTTCACCCAGACAGAACATTTAGGTTTCTTTAATTTTCTTTGATATTGGCTGATTCTAATAAGAATATATTTTTCAAGGGTAGTTAATTTAGAAACGAGGAAATTTAAGCTGAAACTAGGAAATAAATATACTTTGAGGCAAAGAAATAGAATTTTAAATTAATGTAAAGGTAAACTACAAAGTGGTATGTAAATGTCTGAGTTAGGTTATTCACATAGCATATAAAAAGTAATTCGTTTCAGATGAAAAAATGGAAGTTTTAGTATAAAATTATGGATTTATGTCAAAAGTATCAGTTTAAAACAACGGCGTCGTTGTTTAAACATTGATTTTATAGCAAAAATCACCAAAAATAAATCAATATCAGTCAATCACTGACTATATTCACATAATGTTGCAGATTTTGTGAGGCTTGTATGGGATCTTTATTTACAGCTAGTATTAGTTCATGGTCAGCAAAGGAAGCGATTGTAATATGATTAGTCTCTGTTATATCGGCTGTGTAGAGTGAGACAAGTAGCGGCTCTAGACAACGTACGGCTCTAAACAACTAGCCTGAAGGACTCCGGAGTTGATAAGACAGGTTGGTTGGATTGTTGGTCTTTCAGTTTTACAGAGAAATATCTATTTGATATGTAGGATTTAAGTAGGAGGAAATAGTTACTAGATAGTGCTATTTTTATTTTGTAAAGCAGACCTCCGTGCCAAACTTTGTCAAACGCGTGTGAGATGTCTAGAAATATAGCGTTGCTTTTCTTAAAGACCTTTTAATATTTTATTTATCATTCAATGGACTTGTTGGTTAGTGGAGTGATTTTCCCAAAAGCCAAACTGATGTTTTTTTAGTAATGTTAACTAGTAGTTAGTAGTAGTAGTTGGTAGTAAGTAACTTTCCATATTTTTGGAAAGTGTGATGAGCTTAACATGCGGTTAAATATAACTGTTATCAAAGTAGTGGGTCTTGCGAGGAAGTTGTTTAGTTCTTGTGCCGAGATTAAATAATAACCTGGGGCCTTTCGTGAGTTGAGTTTCTTTATTTCTTTCTTGGTTTCTATAGGAGTAAAACTTTTAATTGGGAGGGACATTTGACACGCTGCGCTAATAATTTCTTCCACATCTTCATCAGCGTCTGCTGGTTCTGTTTGAAATACATTTCTAAGGTGTTCGGCAAAGACGTTTGCTTTTTCTTTGTTGGAACAGGTCCATTTGACATTTGGTTTACGGATGGGGGATAGTTGTGTATAGTTTCTTAAGCTTCTTAGTCGCGTTTCATAACGTTTGGTTATTTGCTGTAAGGTTTGTAATGTAATGTTCGAAGGTTTCGTTGTTTGCGGCTTTGATGGCTACTTCAAGTTGCCTACGTAGTCTATTGAATATATGTAGATCTATGTTGTTTCTAGATCTTTTCCAGGTTCTCCTCGCACGACGTTTTTTAGCAATGAGTTGGCAATGTGTAGGGGAACATTTGTGGTATGTGTTGGTTTGCATTCAGTTCGTAGGTGTAGATTGCCACCGCTTTTTGCACAAGTGTGGTGAAGTATTGAGCTGCTGTGTCTATGTCATATGTGGATTTGATGCGCAGATTAAGATTGGTGTTTTTGTCTAGGTAGGATTAAAAATCTGCTAATTTAATGTTTTTTGACAAGAGTCGAGGAGGTGGTGGGAACTTATAAAAATTGAAAATTGTTTATTTTATTATTATAAATAATGAAGTGCGAGTTTCAAATAATTCTAAATATGAAAAGTGGTGGAGAGAATTTCAAAAATAAAATTGGAACTTACATTAGAGAAACTACAAAACAAAAGTACCAAAGCAATAATCAAGTTATAGTTGTCACATATGTACATAAATTAGAAGTAAACTAACAAAATAAAATGATGTGATAAAACGTACATCTTTAGCAAAAATGAATTACGTCCTAAGAAGGCTAGATTTTGTGGACAATGAATACTAAAATAATCGATGCATTTGGGATGTGGTGTTGAGAAAGAATACTTCGACTGTTTTATTGGTACTAGATATTTTAAATTATGGTTATTCCTCCTCAATCCTTTAGCCCTTGTCAGGGCGTAGTGACACCCTAAATATTATTAGTCTGCTGTCTCCATTGACTGCGATCTTGTGCCATATGGACGGCTTCATGTAGGGATTTTCCCACCAAACTCTTCATTTGGTCCACCCATCGTATTGGAGATCTTCCTCTTGGTCTTCGGCCTTCTACCTTACCTTCTACTACCAATAGTTCCATGGTGCCCGTTCTTCTAGCTATGTGGCCGAAGTAAGTTAGGTATGCTTGGTTTACTTTTTTTAGTAGCCTGTCTTTTATATGAAGCTCTTCCAGAATTGACAGGTTGGTTCTATGTTCTGTCCAGGACACGCGTAGAATTCTTCTATATACCCACATTTCGAAGGCTTCGATCTTACTCCTATCAATTTTTTTGAGAGTCCATGTTTCAGCTGCATATGTAGCAATGGGAAAAATAAGGGCATTGACCAACCTAAGCTTAGTATTCCTTGTTATTGTTCGGTCTTTCCATATTTTAATTAATTTAGCAGTTGCGGTTCGGGCCATTCCTAGTCTACGTTTGATTTCTGAGGAACAATCACCATTGTTGGTTATCAGAGAGCCCAAGTATACAAATCTGTCGACTACTTCGAAAATCCCTATTTGGCGTATATGCGGTAGATTATTATTTGCTCTGCTATGGTTATTAGTGATCATCAATTTAGCTTATATTAAATGATAATTCCTTCCACGTTCTGTTGATCGATATACTCTGACGTCATGCATTTGTATCATGGTACATTCTTTCAATATAAAGTATGTATACTTTTGTGATTTAATAAGCAGTATAATATTTTAAGCCGATTGGCAGATGTCTATTAATCTCGTCCCATTTTCGTTTCTTGCGTTTTTATCATAGACGCCTACTATTCTACTGCATACCGCTTTTTTTTAATATGGCATTTATCTCATAAATAATCTTCTGTTTTTTGTTAGAAGGTCCGTAGGTGACAATTATTATTGTAGTCTTGCTATATATATATATATATATTATATATATATATATATATATATATATATTTCTTTTTATTCAAAACAATCATTTTCAATCTCTAAAGTAAATTGTTTGATATGTTTGTTAAAGTTTTTGAAAATGTTCAAGGTATTTTGAATTTGTGAAGTAGGAACAGAACATATAAGATCGTCTACAAATTTTTAATAAAGAATAAAGGGAAAGGTAATTGTGGAATAATGACATCCAGCAAATGGCCCAAAATGATGTCATTATTCCACAATTACCTTTCCCTTTACTCTTTATTAAAAAATTTGTAGACGATCTTATATGTTCTGTTCCTACTTCACAAATTCAAAATACCTTGAACATTTTTAATAACTTTACAAACATATCGAATTTATTTTAGAGATTGAAAATAATTGTACGATATTATTTCTGGACACCAAATTATTAAGAAGTGAATAAAACAAAATATTGATAGATTGATATCAAAAGCCAACATACTCTGGAAGATATTTAAATTTTTTTTTAATCATCCTACTCATCAAAAGTTTAATACAGTGATTGCAATGAAGGATAGGGCAAGGCATATTAGTGATGATAGATATATTTTGACGGTCCCACAAATATCGTAGCATTACAAACAGTTCAATATAAAAAACTACCATTAATAAAACAGTTAACATCTTCTGTGGCTAGTTTATTTAAACAATTTACTAACATTAAAATTGTCCAATATAATTTATTAGAAAACCGACAACTGTTTTCTAAAGTAAAAGACAAGACACCAACTGTAAATAAAACTAATGTTATCTACAAATTGCCTTGTTTGGATTGCCAGAGCTGTTATGTTGGCCAAACTTCTCAATGGCTAAAACAAAGGGTCACACAACACGAAAGTGACTGCACAAAAAAGAAGAATACATGTGCGGCAGTTGACCATTACTTAAAAACTGGGCATCAATTTGACTACTCAAATTTGAACTTATTTAGTCTTATTTTTAACACGATAAAACAAGCTTTTGTTATTAATACCACTGTACCTATCACTTCTAATGTCAGTGCATGGCTTAAATTCTGCTGTAGTCTTATTTGTTACGTTACCAATGAAGGGCAATCTTTTATATTTAAAGTTTTGTGGAGCATCTCTATTCAATGGTTTATCATATTAGTGTGACTTGTAAATTAATTGTTAAAAGAGTGTCTTCGGATAACTGTTGTTGATAAATATCTCAATTAATTTACTCTGACTGTTACTTAGAGACTGGTCGTCACATAGATGTGGCATTCTATTCTTCCTAACAAGAACTGTACTGTATTTTTGGTTTTTTGGGTGGTTAGAAAAAAAGGTTAGAAATCTGCCTGATGCAGTAGGTTTTTGGTACCAATCTAGTATTATATTATTGTTTTCCGCGCGTATTACTTTAGTGTCCAAGAAAGGAACGCTATTGTTAGTTTCTCTTTCAACAGCAAATTGTATTTTGTCATACCAGTTTTAAGAGAAACTAATATGAGTGCTAGAACGGCACGAACAATTTTAAAAAGAAATAATTACCATTGCAAAAAATAGCAAAAAACTCGTACAATTTTCCCTGCTGATGATGAACGACGCGACGGGTGGTTTTTTGTGAGGACATGATGAAACAAACTAAGTCTTGTTTACAGATGAGTATTCTTTTTCTTTAACTGGCCATTACAATTCATCTGTTATCGTAGGGTACAGAAAATAGGTACATACGTGTTCCTTACAAAACACATTACCGTTAATAAGTGTAACGTCTAATCTTTTAAAGACCAGAGTGTTAAGCAACACCATACTGTGGTAAGAAACGAGTGGAGAAATTCTTCGAATATCCCTAAGGATATTTAAGAGAAAAACGTCCACCGTTGCCATCCACCAGAATGGTGCTCTGCCCGACTGCTCAGCCCTGGGTTCGTTCCCTGTTCATTCTCCCCTACACCAATCCCAGAAAGGTACAGGAAATAAAAATACTTGTTGAGTCATAACAAAAGGTATATATTTATTTATAAAATAAAACAAACATTTATATTATGAATATGAAACAAAGATAAATAAACTGTGACACAAAGATTAAGCGGTTGCCGGTATGGAATAACTAGAATATAATATAAGTACTCAGCTTTATTTTGTTTGGAATGAGTTGTTCCGTCTTTCAGGAAGGGTTCCGATCCCTGTTGAATCTAGCCGCTGTCGGTGGATTTAAGGAGAGTTGCTGGTCTACATAATGGCAATTTTCTTCCCATGTTACTAAAGGGATTTCATATTCCGTGCTGATGCATCAGTGGCTTGGTATCTGGTTGCTGAATGTTGCCCAAGGTATTGCGGTTGGCTGTTTTCTTGCTCCACGGTAGTAGCTAGAAAATTCAAACAAAGATCAGTTCTCTCCCAAAAGAAAAGCCTGATCAGAAATAAAGCTGAGTATTCAGAGAGAAACGATCTCAGCAAAATCTCTGATCACAGCGTGGCATTAATAAAAATAAGTTTGTAAGAAAAGATTTTTTATTTAGTAAGATATTAAGGAAAGTAAGGTAAAATAGGTACATATATACAGTAAGAAAAAAATAAAAGTTAAAATGATTTCAGCTTTATTTTATGAAAGAAAGTATCTGCCACGCAAAGTAAAACAAGTAAAAAAAACAGAGGCCTAAAACTAGAAGAAAAACTTACCCGTTTATACGGCCAAGACACTAACCAATTTAAGAATGATTGTAGCAATTGTAGTAGAGTGAAAAAGAACGAATAAAGATTCGTATCGGCTTATATAGCGTAGCACGGCTGCTAAAAATATTTATAATGTAGTGAGGTCGCTTAGGAATATTATAGTACGGGGGCCAAGTACCGAGCGGAGTTTATTGTCACGTTCCATCGGTTAATTAAAACGTTACAAAAGTCAACGTCTGTCTACCTAAAGGCAGGTTTATAAACGGACATAGTACATAATCATAAGTCATAAACATAACTTCAACCACAATCATAATTCATAAGATTTAAGATTGGTTTATAACTAGACATAATACATAACCATAATATTTAAGAACTACTTCAGAAAATACAAACCTAACCAAATTTTTATAGAGCATGAAGAATTTTTTTCTGGTCTTTAGATTCATAGAAAAGTGAAATAAATAAATATGTGGTTAAATTCGCTCCAAAAACATTAAATTAAAATAGTAGGGTTATGTATAGGAGGAAACTGCAGATGATTCTACCAACGCATGCGCATATTCCAACAATTCCATAATGTTTAATACTTAATTCATAAATGTTGAAAGTTACCAACTTTCAAGGTCACGTTTTAAGGACTAAATTTATGTCTTATGTATTATGGATGCTTTTAAATGGGTACATTTATTTATTAACTTTTAACATTATGCTTATATAATAAGATTATGGTTAAAGACTAAAATTATGTTTATGTCCGTTTATAAATCCGGCTTTAGATGACAACGTAATTGGCCCTTTTTTGATTGTGGCCTCTTTTTGTCGGAGATACCTAGATCTCGTAAAAATCACACAATTTCAGCAGAAAACATAGTACGAAGCTTCGCCCTATTCTACATTATTGCCTACTGTACCACTTTTTTATCTACTTTTGGGCATTTATCCATTGTATTTGTTTCAATTTAAGGGAAAAGTCGAAGCAGAATTGGAGTTGATATGTCTTGAAGATGCAATGAAAGAGCCTGCTGGTATTGGAAGACGTGAACCTCAACCACTTCCATTGCCAGAGTAAGTATATATATATATATATATATATATATATATATATATATATATATATATATATATATATATATATGTTTCACTTTAGACGCTTTTAAAAGTCGGTTAATAAAGTTTAATAAACCATCTAATTATAGATTATGTCGGGAATATTGATTGTATATAAGATATTTTCACTTAGATATAATTGTCTTATAATAAACAATGCGATGATCTTATTTTACTAAGTGCTGAAGGAAGCTTAGCAACATTTTTTAAAGAAATTATATACTCAGTGACATTAGCAGTTTTACATCCAGAAGGAATAATTTCTTGAACTTAATTTTTGGCTACATGATGACTATATTTAAAACATGCTATGATAGCAATACCAATGTTTTAGCGTTTTTACTTTTTGTAAAAATAAAGTTTTACCTTTAAATTTTTTTGTGAAGAGACTGATTTGTGAAAACCTGTTTGTATAGAAATTTTCAGTTATTACTACTCAGTCTAATTGTATTCAGTGTAAGAAAATACCTCGAGTTCGAAGACACCAAAATTACTACCATGGTAGCGATTTTGACAGTGATAAAATTATTGCGTATAGAGATATGGGCTTGTCGTATCGCGAAATTGGCCGTCGTGTTAATTGTACGGCAATGACCGTTATGCGTGTCTATCGTGTGTGGACAAACGAAGATAGAAGAACAGAAGAAGACCAACTGGTCAACCGAGGCGTACCACAGAGTGTCAAGATAGGCACTTTAGATTACTTGCTCTGCGAGATTGTTTTGCTACTACGCCTCAAATTGTTGACCAATGGTTTGGAATAGTAGGTAGATCTGTTAGTATGCGTATACTATACCACCGCATTACAGTAGTGATGAAGAAGATGTCTTCTTCTTTATGTGCCGTCTTCTACCGAAGGTTGGCGACCATCATACGATAGGTTTCTCTGTTTTGTGCCGCATGAATTATGTTCGCAGCTTCTGGTATTTGAAACCATTCTCTCAAGTTTCTCAGCCAGGATTTCTTCTTTCTGCCCAAACCTCTTTACCTTCAATCTTGCCTTCCACGATAAGCTGTAGCAGACTGTACTTATCATTACGGAACACATGGCCCAGGTATGACGCTTTCCTCCTTTTAACAGTTGTTAACAATTCCACCTCTTTACCCATTCGTCTTAATACCTCTGTGTTGGTCACTCTGTCTGTCCAAGGTATTCTCAGTATGCGTCGATACAGCCACATTTCTAGAGCCGCTAACTTCTTTATAGTTGCTGCTGTTAACGTCCACCCTTCTACGCCGTAAAGTAGCGTAGAGAGTACGTAGCATTTCGTGGCGCGCCATCGGAGGTTAATGCTTAGGTTGCGGTTGCTTAAGAGCTTTCTCATTTTGATGAATTTGGATCTTGTATTTCAATTCGGATCTTAATCTCTACTTCTGGGTCCCACTTGTCATTTACTGTATATCCCAGATATTTAAATCGGTGTACTCTTTCAATACGTTCGTCTTCAATATGCAGGTCGATATGTTGAAATTTTTTTTTACTGATCACCATAAATTTAGTTTTCTTTCTATTGATCTTCAGTCCAAATCGGCTGCCAGTTGTATTAACTCTATGTAGCATCATCTGTAAATATTCGATGTTATCGGCCAGTATAATAGTATCATCTGCATATCGAAAATTACTTATTGGTACGCCATTAATCTTGATGCCCTCATTGTACTCTTCTAGTGTCTCTAGAAATATTTGTTCCGTAAAGAAGAAGATGTACAGAAGTGAATTTAGCTATGGGGTCGCCTTTGGGAGTTCTTCAGATGTTAGATGTCTATTTTTCTTGACATTTTTTTCCTTTTAACTTTAAGAAACCTTTGTAGTCTAAAATCCATTATAACTGGATTGTAATCGCTATGAATGACAGCTCCAGGAAATGTCTTAGTAGTTTTTATGTACTTCTTGAAGTTGTTATCGAGCAAAAGGTAGTCAAGTAGTATTTTGAGCATTATTCTTATTTTTAAAATATATTAATAAATTTATTTATAAGCACATTTAGTGTTTTTTTATTTTTTAATTTGCTAAAATATCTTACGAGATAGAAAAAATTGTTTTGCAGATTTGGAAGAGCACACCAAAATTATATAAAATAACTTATCAAATTTAAAACATCTTTTAAAAAGTTTTTTTTTTGTAGACCTGTGTAATTGCAATGTTTGACCAAATATTATTTGATGATCGACCACCCGATATAAACTTAATTAATGTTTGGTTATATAAAATGTGAGTTGTATACTACTGAAATTGACATCCAGATTCGATCTTACTCGGGCTAAATTTAGTGTCACATTCCATCTCTTGCCACGTGCTTCGTGATTCTGCAAAATAAGTCATACTTTCTACATCTAAAACATAAGTCCTCAGTTCAGTTGTGAGTGTTTATTGATTTTTAATTCATTTTCTCCCTGATAATGGAGATTTACCGACGCAGAATGTTGACAGGATGATGTATTAGTACGATTGTGTTGACTTCCAATTTATTGAAACCTTAAAAGAAACACGTTTGAAAAGTCATCGACAGCGTCGTACATTATTTTTTGAGTACGGGACTATTTTGCTATTTTACATAAAATTTCTTTCTTCTTTAGCAGGAATTTAGATAATTTGTAAAAACCAAACCGATCAGCTTATAACTAAAGAATAACTTATCAGCTAAAGAATAACTTAATTTTAAAAATCATGAATGTGTTGCTTGTGTCCATTTCAAATAGGTAAAGAAATAATAAATAAGACTTACTCACAATCAATTTAATTTAACTATCAGACGACCGGTTTCGCTTTCTACAATATGCAAAGCATCTTCAGGTCTCGATACAAAGTTAAATAAATGCTGAAATGATAAAAACCCATATTAGGGTGTTGTCTAATAAAGATAAACAAAGTAGATGTTGGAAATTACAATAATTATGCCAATATTACATGTCTGTGGTTTTATTTCAAAAAGAGTAAGTTGAATAAAAAGGTATAAAAGTTTTAAAAGTTTAAACAGACAAGGTAAGGCCCACAAATTGTTATAAAATAGTCAAGTTAACTTGCAGTATTGAGAAACAGAAGAAGAACTGTCACATGCTAACCTACATTTGTCAAATTTACCACTAAAATCTAATAGATAACACATAAAAAACTCATTGTGCCCAAGACTGAGATGTAGTGCATAAAAGTCCTTCCCCCATTTAAATTTAATGTTTGTTTCGTCCCTTCTAAGTGTTTTCTGTTTTAGTGTGTTTTAAATTGTCCTTAATTGTTTTAATTCTAATATTTTATTTACTTGACTTTGCAATAATCTACTATTTTGCCAATAGAACTTTATCAAAGAAATTTGATAACTACAAGTTAAAAAATAATTGCACACTCACACAATTTGTACATCTAAACTTATTCATTGTCATAAAACTGTCACCTTCATAAAACAATTACTCAATAAATAACACACATTTCATAAATATATCTCTCGAATAAGTATAAATAACTTTTAATAATACAATGGTATATTACATCACTTTCATTTAACAAACAATCACACACATATCTCTGCTTCATTGGATCAAATCTATCTCCTCAAGAACTTCCCGTTTACTGTCAAACAACTACAATAGCAGAATTGAGTTCTCCATTCAACAATACATAGTAGTTTTCAACCATGTTCTACCATCCATCAATTAATAGAGTACCGGCATGTAAGTAATGTTTATTTATTTGCTCATTTATTAATTTATTACAATCTAATAGACTATTTTATAACAATTTGTGGGCCTTACCTTGTCTGTTTAAACTTTTAAAACTTTTTATACCTTTTTATTCAACTTACTCATTTTGAAATAAAACCACAGACATGTAATATTGGCATAATTATTGTAATTTACAACATCTACTTTGTTTATCTTTATTAGACAACACCCTAATATGGGTTTTTATCATTTCAGCATTTATTTAACTTTGTATCGAGACCTGAAGATGCTTTGCATATTGTAGAAAGCGAAACCGGTCGTCTGATAGTTAAATTAAATTGATTGTGAGTAAGTCTTATTTATTATTTCTTTACTTATTTAACTTAATTTTACTTTAAAATAAAAATTTGATTTAAATGTAAAATCAAGTAAGCAGATTACATTTTTAAAATATGTTAGGTCGTGCTTCTGCAGAATGTTAAATAGAAGTTTATGTTACTTCATTCTGAAGCTAACTTCACAGACACCTTAACCAACGTTATACGTATTATTGGAATAATAAGGCCCTGTGATCCTATTTTAGATTACCAGACAGCGTGCGATTGGTTCTTGACATAATGGTTTACCATTTTTACTGGTTTTTAATGCCATTTTAATTTCCTCTTTTAATATCTTTAAAACCATGTACTCGTCTAATTCTATCTCCATCTGTTATATTCTATTGTCTTTGAAACAGTTCATTGATGTATTCTCTCCATCTTTTTAATTTGTCGTTAGTATTCAACACAAGTTTCCCATTTACATCTTTCAGTATTCTCGGTTTTCTTCTTACATAAAGCAGAACACCATTGGGCAGATGTAACATTGGGAAAAATACATCTTCTAGTCCTGATAGTATCCACTGAAGGTGCCTCAAAATGTTTTGGAGAATATCATACCGCTGCTTACCAATATATTCAATGCATATCTAAGGTTGAGTTACTTTTCTTTTCCCTGGAAAGTAGTCAACACAATCATGATCCCTAAATCAGGAAAACACAAAACCAGCACAGAATACTACAGAACAACATCGCTCTGGAACACGCTAGAAAAAGTCTACGAGAGGATCCTTAAGGAAAGACTCGTAGAATTTATAGATGACCATTTTTTTATTCCCAACTTCTAATTTGGATTCAGAGTTGGTCCCTCCATCTAAAATGCATTGATTGAAGCAGCGACTTTCATTTCACAATCTATTAAGGAACATCACAGATTTGCCATTGACATCTTTCTTGGCGTCTAGATGTCTTTCAATCTTGTCT